AAACTCGGTGTGGCCTTCAGGTTAGCACAACAACAGTGCATAGAAAGCTTTATGGAATGGGTTTCTGAGAGTCCTGACCTCAACCCAATAGAACAGCTTTGAGATGAATTAGAGCGGAGACCGTGAGCCAGGCCTTCTCGTCAGACATCAGTGCCTGACCTCACAAATGTGCTTCTGGAAGAATGGTCAAACATTCCCATAGACACACTCCTAAACCTGTGGACATACTTCCTGGAAGAGTTGAAGCTGTTATAACTGCTAAGGGTGGGCCAACTCAATATTGAACCCTACGGACTAAGACTGGGATGACATTAAAGTTCATGTGCGTGTAACGGCAGGCGTCCCAATACTTTTGGCCATATAGTGTGTGTATATGTATGTGTGTGTGTGTATATATATATATATATCTATATCTGGGCATCCCGGGTTGCCATGGTCACTAGAAATTTCGTCCTGGGTCCACACACTGCCTCCCATTGACTTCAAGGCAGAGTCGCCTCCCATCGACTTCAGCCTGGTTCACACCAATGCGTTTTTACTGCTTTTTGCAGAAACACACTACAATCCATTTTACATGGTTTCTTATGGGACATGTTCACATGCGCGTTTTTCAGCCGCTGCAATTTTGGGAAAGGTCAGGGACTTTTCAACCTAAAAAGCAGTGTTTTTGCTACAGTAGGGTTCAATGGAGATGCTGCTGAAATGCATGCTTTTGCCGTGTTATGTGTCTTTTTTTTTTTTCTGCCCATCAACAAAAACATTTCCCTTTTAACAAATAAATATCCCTGAACAAAACACAGTAAAAACAGCAAAAACGCGTGTGTACAAACACAAATGGCAATTCAAAAATGAATCAAAGGCAAGCTGCACTGGTGTGAACCAGGCCTTTAATGCCAATACACCTCCCATTGACTTGGGTGCTAAAACTCCTGTCAGTAGCAATCCTTTGTGAACACTCATCTCTGCATGGTCCTCTTATCACTTGCAAGTCTGGAACGCACCACTACAAACTCGCACAGGACCCTTTTTATAATGGCACTTAAAACATAATGCATGTGGATCGTGTTTGTGTGAACCACCTTAATAGGAACATCTAACCTGTCATGTGAATCTGTGAGTTTGAAAATGCATCCAGAATTGCATAAGTGTGAAGCAGGGCAGCTCCATTCACACCTAGGCATTTTGGGATTGAGGCAGAATTGCTGTACTTGCGAAACACAGGTTCAGGTGCCATTATTTTCAATGGTCCCTAAAATGTAGTGCAGTTTTGCCATGATTATTGCAAATTTAAATCGCATGAAGCTTGTTACCCAAAACTCACCTTGCCTCGGGCGCTGACAACCAATGCTACGGAAAAAAAAAAAAAGTGACTGATAACTTTTTTTTTCTTCTAGCTGACAACTAGATTCAAGCAGGGGTGTAGAAACATCTTGTCCATGGACTAAATCAGTGTCTCAATCTACTTGTCCAGATAAAAAAATACATTTTAACCAAAACCATGTTTAAATCTGAAGTGCTTTTAGGAATGTGTGGGGCTTTTAAAAACAAAAGAAGCTTTATGGTGACTTAAACACTTACTGTTTTTAACATTGCACTGTTTATCTCACCTCCCTGGCTAGTCTAAAAGATCCTGGATGTCTCCCCTGTACTTCACTGGATGTAATGCAATGCAGATCGCACTGCATTACATTCTTTCCCGTGCTTGGTGGCGGGGAAATCTGTCAATGGGGACCTGTAAGTGATGTCATAACTTCACGTTTGGGTTAGGACGGGGAGGGGAGCGGACATGTCTGCTCTCCTCCCTCCCCTATATCCACCGGCAACCTGTTGAACTGGGCCCGCAGTTTGGCAAACAGGGCCTGGGAGACATATCAGGAATGGGGACGGAGCCTGGCACTGTAGTGTGCTGTGTGGAAGCAATTGGGTGGCAGTGCAGCCACCCAAATGCTTCCACCTGACAGGGGAGCCATGTTGCTTGCCTGCAGCAGGGCTAAAGGTAAAAAAAAAAAAAACCTACCTACCCAGCGCCCGGAACTACATGTCTCTGGCGTTGGGCGATATTAATTGAATATCCCTGTTCAAAGCAAATTTGTCAAGCCCTGATATATAGTGTATATATAAACCTCCCTTTTCTAAAAAAAAAAAAAAGTAATACATTATAATGGTTATGTAAAAGTAGCCAATCTAAACCAAAAAAGAGTATAAGGAGCATGAAGAACCAGACTATACTATGGTGTGTGTATCTAAATCCTCATAAAGCCTATTGAGTACCATAGTACCTAACTTGTAGATCCAGAATGTCTATCTACACAATATGAGAAATTTTCAATTGTCAGATAATTGAGCATTGTTTCAAAAACAATTTGAGATCATTTTTATATTGTGTTGATGTTTGGTGGAAACTTCCTTTATGAACCTATGGTGTTCTCCGATCCTCTTACATAAAGTGCATAGACCATACACCACAAATTCACTGGAGCAATTAATACATTTTCTAATTGAATTTGTGCATCCATCACAGTTACTAAACGTGGATGCCCATGTGAAATTAACTGGCATGTCAAGCAGCCACCCTTTTTAAAAAGAAAATACCCACTCTGTTGTAAAAAAAATATAGCGTATATTTGTATTAACACCTAGTGGCCTACTGCGGGGCAACAATATTTTTTATAATACGAGTTTGGGTAAAGTGGGACCAAATTTGAGATCAAGAAAAAGAGAGTGCCAGCTTAAACAGATGGTGCAATATCTTCAATTAAATCTTGTAATTAAATTTACTTTATCTGTGTATGTCCTACTGTCATTGGTGTCTGACTTGCTCATAACATATCTATTATAAGCTTCCGTAACCAAATCTTGTGGGTACCCTTTCTCCCCAAACAAAAAGTACCAAACTCCCCTTTTATAATTTTCAATTTTGGTGCTTTTGTTTGAGTCTACAGAATTGGCCTGTTGGAATGTTATTCCAAGAATGGTGATGGCAGCTCTGGTAATATGAGTTGCCGGTAGTGGGCTTAAAGTGGTTCCTGGTAATAATTGCCTAACCCTCATGTGTCAGCTCGAGACAGTGGGTGAGGGGAGAAGATACCTGGCCTGCTTTCACAGTGGGGGCCCATGTAGTAACCTGTTGCGTGTTGCGCCCTGGGCACAGGTGTAACATGTTATGAAAGGTGAACTTATCCTTTAACCGTACCATCCCCCCTCCCCCGACTGACAGTGCTGCTTTCTACTGTGTCCTGGCTCATTCCTCCAGAGTTGTGTCTCACTAATACAGGTGTGTTAGTGGCTAGATCACCAGGTGAAAAAGCTGCCACATCTAATGAATGGTAAACTGAAGTATAATACAATTTTGGTTTGGGGTTTAAGAAATAGAAAGCTACCAGCTCTCACAGATAATCGAGCCCACTCACGTATAATTGTTTATGTTGTGATTGGCCCTGAGAGCAGACTGCCCGATTCCAGTCCCAATAACTCGCATGTGATTGCAGCACGAATGAGTACATGCCAGTGGGCACGATTACTGCGATAGCCGGCAGCTTCCCATGGCTTTCAATGGGGCTATCTCTCATAGCTAATCGCGGGAACCTTCATTGGGGCTCTTACTTGTAATTGCCAGCAGGGTGCATTCTCAGGTGTGAACGAGGGGTCTTCAAAAAGTTTCTACACTTTTATATACACACACAGACAAACAGACACACATAAAATGTGTGTAAACTTTTTGAAGAACCCTCCTATTTGACTTTATTAACCTTTTAGCGACCACCTACTGCAGATTTACTGCGGCAGACTGGCCCATGTATCCGCTACCCTGACTGCTGTCATTCGATACAGCACAAGCTGATCAGCTGGTCCCGGTCAGTGTATATACCACCGTTTGTAGACTTTCATGCAAACCTATTAATAAACACTTATTGATATTTTTTTTTTTTTTACCAAATACATTTTGGCCTAAATTTATGAAGAAATTAGATTTTCAACATTTAATTTTATTTTTATTGAATGTTTTATAGCAGAAAATAGTTTTTTTTCATTTATATATTAAAAGTAGTGAATACCACCAAAAGAAAGCTCTGTGATATAAATTTAATTTGGGTACAGCAGTGCTCGACATTGGCCAGGCTCCCAGTCGCCATAGCGACCAGAAACCGCGTACTGGCGCCTGGACCCCCGTCAGCCCACACTGCTCTGCTGTCTTGGACCGGCACCTCTCCTCTGTGTAACCCAGCATTCTGGGACCCCCAGAGTCTCCCCATCCCTTCTTGTGCACAGGCGGAACACAGAGATGCACAGCTCCATGAAAGCCAGCTCCCTGGAGAAGACCGCAGCCCCCCCCCCCCCCCCCCCCCAAGCCCATGGAGCCTCACCAACTGCTCCATCCACACCACGGAGCCCCTTCAACTGCGGCGGTGCTCCCTATCAGTGTACCAGAGTCACCGGGCCCACCAAGTCCTGCCACCTGTGCGATAGCGGACAGTTCCACCTCCAGCGCATCACCAAACCCCCCAGCTGTCCTGCAACTCCTCACCTGTCCCTGTCCTCCTCCTGTGACACTGCTTCCCACCTGTGATGCTGCTCCTCACTTGTCCCACTGCTCCCCTCCTGTGACGCTGCCGCACCCCTCCCCCTTCTCCCATGACAATTCATTCTGCTTGCCCCCACTGGTCTTGCTGCCCCTTGTCCCGCTGCCTTCCTTCTGTCCTGCTGCCGCTCCCCCCATCTGGCTCTTAACTTTTTTAGCTGGCTCCTAGATTCAACAGAAATTTGTCAAGCTCTGGGGTACAGGGTTGCACGAGCGCACAATTACCAGTGGCCTTGGTCCTTAAGGGGGTAAAACATTCCGGAGCTTTAGTGAATGTTCAATGAGATGGCATTTTCTGATGAATTAAATGTTTACAGACACAAGACTTTTTTTTGGAATTCACTTTAATTTAGTTTCTAGGACAAATATAATACTATTATGTAATTTGAAGTATGTTAATGTATTTTTCACTTTCAAATAGGTTGCTTTTGCAGTTATGTCTTACCCACCGCATCTAAATCGACCCCCAATGGGGATTCCTACTCTTCCTCCGGGAATACCTCCTCCACAATTTCCAGGATTCCCTCCACCTCCTGGTAAGTGCATTTTTTTCAAAATTCATATTGAGTTTGTGAAGGCAAACTCTCCTTTTCAACTCAATCATTGTTGAAAAACATTGCTTCAAAGTAGAGTTAGATTTTCATTTACTGGTGTTTTTTTTTTTTAAACCAGTTCTCGCCTGGGCCAATAGCAAAATGACTGCCGAGCGGGAGTCCCAGCGATCCGAGTGGGTGTTATATAACGTCCTCCCAGATCGTGTCTCCCACGGGGCAGCGCTGGGGCAAGATCTGTTACCAGCTGTGCCCAAGGGACACAGCCAGTGACAGATCTGTGTACCAGCCCATTGCCAGCACCTTGTGACTGCGGTGACCAATCACAGCAGGTCACATGACAATTGTAGACAACGGCTTCCTTTCATGCCATCCATTGCATACAATTGTCACTACCTGTGATTAGTCACAGTAATCACATGGTACCAACTGGGCCAATCATAGCCCATATGTGTCATGTGATTAGCTGTGGCCAATCACAGCTAATCACAACAAAAAACCTGCATGAATCTATCTCTTTCATTAAATGCTTGCTTATAGCAATGAAGTTCTTTGTGTAAATTTTGTAAAATAAAAAATGTTGATCGCTTCCCCAGAGTAGTACAGTGTTACTATGGTAACATTATACTACTCTGGTCACAGTGTGTTATGAAAAAAAAAATCGTGAAAAAATGTAATTTTAAATTATCTATATATATATATATATATATATATATATATATATATATAGTGTCCCTGATCACCATACCTTTGCAAAAAGGGGTCATTTGGGGGATATCTGTACTCCTGACATTTTTGGACCTCTAGAAATTAGATTGGCTGTCAGTACTTCGGTATTGATCAATTTTCAGTTATATACCATAGTTTGTGAACACTATAACTTTCCTACATACTGAATAATACTGATTTGGGCTCTTTTTACCAGAGAAATGTAGCAGAACACATCTTGGTCTAAATTTATGAAGAACTATTTATTTGCAGAATGTTAAAACAGAAATGAAGAAAAGCGGTTTTTTTTTCTTCAAAATTTCCTTTGATTTTCTTAGTCTTTTTTTTTTTGTTAATTTAGCAAAAAATAAAATCCCCAGTGGTGATTAAATACCATCAAAACAAAAGGAAGCTCTAGTTGTGTGAACAAAATGATAAAAATTTAATTTCGGTACAGCGTTGCATGACCGCGCAATGGTTATTCAAAGTGCAACGCTGACAATTGGCCTGTGCAGGAAGGGGGTAAAATTGCCTGGTATTGAAGTTGTTAAACCCACCTAATTCTTTGCTGCCAATCGCCCATATTTTACTGTTATAGCACTTATCAGATCAATGTCAACCTTAAAAAATATGAGGTTTATCTGAACATTCATAAGGGATGCTGCAGACCATTGAGACATATACCCTTGTGTAAGAAGGATATGCACTACGCAGTATGCTTTCTCATTATAGCCACATAGCTGAAGGTAAATCTAAAGGAAATGAAACAAGAAAATTGTATAATGTATAAGCAGCCTTAGTGTTGTAAGAGGTTTACTATATTAGATTGTTAGGGAAACAAGTTTTCAGAATTCCTTCCTTCTTTAGATTCATTACTTTTTCATTCTACTTTACCCATAAAGTGTTTTTAGTTTTTGTGCCCTTTTACAATTTCATATTATGAATAATATATATATATGTTTTTAATAGGAACTCCAATGATACCCGTACCAATGAGTTTAATGGCTCCAGGACCAACTGTAAGTCTTTTTCTACTGTATCATAACATTCAATCTTAAAAATGATAAAGGTACTTCTGTGTTTAGTGAGCTGCGTTTAAAATACATTACATCCAGCTTTGAAAGTGAACCCCTATGTGTGTTCTTCCTATGTTTTGAAAGATTTCACCGAACGCCTAAACCAGTGTAAATATTGCTCTGTTTACATTCAGCTTGTTTGCATCTTACTGCAGACAGGAATAAGAGCAAGATGCACAGGAATAAATCCTTTGGCAGGCACATATTTGTATTTAACCACTTTACAACTGCGCTACAGCTGAATGACGGCTACAGCGCAGTTTTCTAGTTCTGGAAGGGCATCATATGACTTCCTCCCAAAACGCGCCACCAGCAGCGTGCACCCGGCACTGTCTGTGATCGCTTTGTCCTTTGGACACAGCTGATCACATGGCATGGTAAAATGCCAATCACAGTGGCCTTTTACCATGTGATCAGCTGTGTCCAATGACACAGCTGATCACAAAGTAAATACTGTTGCTGGTTATTGGCATTACTTTCCTCACGCTGTCACAGCTCTCCCTATAGTCAAAAGAATGCATGCAGGAGGAGGACCCTGGAACATACACAAGACATATGCCTTGTTTAGGAGGTTAACAATGTGCATGGGACTGTTTCAGCTGATCGAGCAGGTCTGCCAACACTGCATGATTTGTTCAATGTCAAGAGAGACAGAAGCCCAAGTTCCATTCATGACTCGGAAAACATTGGCTTTACTGGAAGTGCTAACTGCTGACTTCCTAACTCTCAACCCATCTAAAGATGGACACTACCACAAACTCACCATTGTGGACCACTTTACCAAGTTTACCTATTTTGTGGTAGCTTTGCTGACACACAACCAGACCACCAAGACAGATGGTGTGCAAACACTTTTTACTCTCATATGGCTTCCCACAAGAGATACATTCTTATCAGATAAAGATACCCTGCTTAGAATGCGAGCTCTTCCAGGTGCTCACTGGGCATCGGGAAACTCATACAAATGAGCGCAGAGAGGCCACTCCAGGTGGCAGCATGTGAACAGTTAATCATGAGCTCACCACTGCTGCCTTGTTAATGATTTGCATTATGAAGAGAAGTGAAAAAAATAGGCGCCGTGGAAAATGCTCTCAGTCAAGCACCTTAATGAAGGTGCATCATTTTTGGGTGAGACAAAGTAGCAAATATAATAAAATTTGACCAGCCTGAAGTGAACAGTTTGACTCAAACGGATGCCCCGTCCGCTCTGAAGGGAGCTGAGATCGGAGAACGCTCCTGTTGGCTTCAAATCACGTGGTGTCAGCGTACCTGCGTCCCGAGTGGTGTCACCATGGCAAGCGAAGGCAGTGTCCGGTGTTGGCTTCAGCTGGGAGCGTGTGTAGGGTTACCAAGACGCCATGTTTCGCGCAGTTGCACTTTGTCAAGTTGTGATTTGAAGCCAACAGGAGCGTTCTCCAATATCAGCTCCCTTCAGAGCGGATGGGCCGTCTGCTGGAGTCACACTGTTCACTTCAGGCTGGTCAAATTTTATTATATTTGCTACTTTGTCTCACCCAATAAAGATGCACCTTCATTAAGGTGCTTGACTGAGAGCATTTTTCACAGTGCCTATTTTTTTCAGTTAACTGGGCATCGGGAAGACACATACCACCCCGTTGCACTTTCAAGGTAACCGGATGTGTAAGAGGTTCAATCACACAATGATCATGATATGCCTATCCACAAGAAGGGGAGGAGATGAACTCACTACTTGGCCAAACTACAGTCATACACGTTATGTTCAGCCACACCCTCAGGGGACCCACCGATCTTTGGGGCACTCTCCCCACTGAAAAGCTGGGACGCATGCCAAGATCCTGGATTCAAGAGGGGAAGCATTGGCAGTTGAAGGTGCAGCAGTTCATAAAAGATCTGTCCTTGGTAAAATAAGAAGAGTCAGATCTTCCATATGCCATCCCTATCCAATTCAAGGGCACACACATCAACAAGATAACCTACAGTCTCTGAGATGAAGCTCCTGGCATTTTCTTGCACTAACCTATTCAAGGTGTGTTGGTCTATGACATCCAAAAAGGAGTCACCTAAAACAGGCTGAGAAGTCTACATCATAAACGACTCAAAATTCTTGAAGGCCATGGTGGGGCTCCTGCGAGTAACAACCCCAGTATAGGAACCTCCAGCACTGCTTCTATTAGAAATACAATAGTGACTGACCCCTGTCCTCTCATTGCTTCCCAAGCCTTACAGAGAAGTCACAGAACCCAGCAGCACTGCAGAACCTGATAACCAGCCAGCTTGAGTTCTCGGTCCTTTGGTACAATCCTCTGATCCACTAGCCCCCAATACATCTGACAAAGAGAAGGCCACATCACCAAGTCCCTGAGAACGGGGCCAAGACTCAATCTTGTCGCTCCCAGAAGTCTACTTTTGGGAACTCCCCCTGAAAATCTTGCACACAAAAACTTTGTCCGAAATACGAACTTGCTGGGAACTGCAAGTTTAAGTCGGGTGGAGTGTAGCAGTGTGTCCCTTAACCTGCCTTCCCCAGTGGCAGATGCAGGGCCCCCTAACTCCATTACCCACAATCACTTGGGCTCCTATCAACCCATGAACTTTTGGATACGCCTAGAAGATATAAATTCTAATCCATCCCACCTTCTTTTGGTCTGTGGGACCATGTCTGATGGAGCAGCATAGAATGCATGAAGGTAAAAAACTATAAGCCTTTACAACCATTTTAGTTGTCTAAAAGAGAACTGGGGTTTTCAAAAATCTAATTTATACTCGCCTAGGTGGCTGCAGCATTGATTTCTCAGCTGTCTCTGCACTGAGAAACCTAGTAAACAAATACCACTGATTGTTCTCCCCTCCATTCTAAGCAGAGAGCTGGCTTTCTGCTCTGCCTCTCCACTGCTCACTGGAAGGCTGGGCTGGGGAGGGAGCTGCTGGCTCACTCAGTGGTGCAGCTGAGAGGCTGAGCCAGCAGTCGCTTATGGGTGGATCCTGACTGTATTTTCCTTTTCTTTCAATAGTGGCCTTTAGCACTCTGTCAGCTAAAAATGGGTAAAAGGAGTGCAGAACGAAATACAGTGTTGTGATCTGTAGAATAAGCATAGCTAAAAAGCTTTAGCCATACTTTTTAATGTTTTTGGGGTTTTTTGTTGCTTGTTTAGATCATTTGCTTTGTCTTATATTCTTTGGCTTTCACTACCAAATGAAAAAAAAAAAAAAACATGCGCGTTCCATATAATAATATATAATATATTGATCGTTTTTTTTTTTAATTTCCAAGGTTTTACTACCTACAGTATCTATGGTTGGAAAACATCTTGGGCCTCGGAAGGATTTGATGGGTCTTAAGAACAAAGAAAATGATGAGAACAGCGGACCAACAACTACTGTTTTTGTTGGGAACATTTCTGAGAAAGCCTCGGATATGCTCATCAGACAACTTTTAGCAGTAAGTAAAGTTTTAAACAAATGCACCAATAAGTTCTGTTCATTTTTTGTACCTGCTTTCAGGGCATCCCATATGAAGGGGGTAGAGCAGTTAGACAACTGACCGTGCTGTGCTGTCATGCCCAGTGTGCTCAGTTTTTAATAGGAAAGTAGAAGGACTATCAGGGACACCAGGGATTTCACACCAAGGAAGCAATTCAAAGAGAACAGGATACTTTTTCATAAAGTACATCATACAGCAGGCCCATATCAGTAATATGAAATATTGGGTTTTTATGTATTCTTTAAGGCAGACTGTCGCTGTGTGAATGAAAGTATAACTAAAGGCAAAACTTTTTTTAGTTTTGGGTAGAGTGCTGAGGGATTAGAACCCCTATTAAGTTTTATTGCTGTCTGTCTGTTAAGGAGATTCACCCTCTCTATTTGTCCTGTTTACCATTATCATGTAAAGTAAAATAAAATCACAAATTTTGGGTTGCCCCCGAAAAGTAATAGAGGGGAAATTTTCCAATGGGGACCTAGTTCTTGTGACCTGGGGGTCCTCAAGATATTCCTCTAATTTGCTGGTATTTCCTCTCACTTCCTAGTTGGCTATGAGACAGGAAGTGAAGGTAAATGGTACAATGGTACACAGATGGCGAAAAAAAAAAAAACAGGGGTTATAACCTTCCCTTGCTCTTTCCAAAATGGAAAAAAAATAAAACATTTTGTCTATTAACATCAGTGGGGGAGGTGGTCTTCTTCCCTAGTTAAAATACAAACATAGATCTATATCTTACCTGTTCCTGTAATTTGTTATTCTGTTAAATCTCTACTAATATTGATGGTGACACTGTAAAATATAAAAGCTATAATAAACACAATGTTCAAAGACACAAAGGTCTTATTTATATCCAAAAAAAAAAACAAACCTAAAATTGAAATCTAAAAATATTACAGAGCATATAGAAATCAAAGAGCAGAGATAATACTGTATCTTAGCTGGGCTCCAGGAAGAAGGGCGACCTGGCCCTATACAGGGTTGTGGAAATGTTTGAAAAAAAGTACTTGTCCAGGGACTAAATCGGGGCCCCGATGTAGTTGTCCCTCATGACAATCTACTTGTCCAGATAAAAAAAAAATACATTTTTTAAACCAAAACCGTATTTAAAATCGGAGGTGATTTCAGTATTGTCTGGGGCTTTTAAAAACAAAAGGGGCTTTATGGCAACTTAAACATGTAATATTTTTAACATATTTTCTGAAAGCAGAGACCCTAGAGAATAAAATAGTGGTAGTACCAATTTTTTATGTAGCATGATATTACCGCAAAATAAAAAAAAAAAAATACAAGTAATTTTTCATTTTAGGGCACAAAAAAAGCAATAAATTGCCTTATTTTTTTGTTAAATATAAAAAAAAATGAGGTTGCAGCGAGTAAATAGATATCCAACTTGTCAAACCTTAAATTTGTGCTCGTTCGTGAAATGGCGATGAACTTCAGTGCCGTATATTTTCTATAGGTTGACATTTTAAAGCTCCTTATAGGTCACCAGTTTAGTGTTTGAGGAGCTCTGGTGCTCGAATTATTGCTCTCATTCTGGCGTGCGCGGCGATATGTGACGTGTATCGCAATCGACGGTTTCATGTGTAGGCGCCCCAGCGTGTGCTTTTACGTTTGTACTTGCATATATGTGGGGGCCTCAATAATTTTTTGGGGTCGCAGATGGTATGTGCTTGGGTGTAACTTTCATTTTTTTACAATAACAAAAACTTTTTCTTTTTTTTTTACTTTTAATTAGTTTTTTTCATTACATAGGGGACAGTCTAAATCTAAAGTCTAAGTCTTTTAGTCTAAGTCTAAAAGACGCTTCATGTCTCCCCTGTGCTCCACTGAATGTAATGTGCTGCACATCGCACCATATTACATTCTTCCCGGGGATTGCATTACAGTCTCTCAGCGGGGACCCGGAAGTGACATTGTAACGTCACTTCCAGGTCAGTACAAGAAGGGGATCGGACTCGTCCGCTCTTCTCCCTCTCCCCTAGCCGACGGTGCGCCGGGCCTGCAGATGGGCAAGAGGGAGCCCGGGAGACCTCATGCCTGGGGCGCGGAGAGGCTGGCACTGTGTAAGTGTTGCCGCCGATTGCTTCACCTGACAGGTGAGCCCTGCTCCTTGCCCGCAGCAAGGCTAAAGGTAGAAAGAAACTACCTACCCGGAAGTACATGTCCCGGGTGTCGGGTGATAGGACTCCCCTGCATAGCCTTCTGTCCAATGAGCCAAAAGCAGTAAACTTTCAGGGCTTATGTTGCTATCTAGATATCCTCTAGCAGATGGCATCGTCACACTACAGGCAAATTCCTTGACCCAGGTCAGCATTTCGGCACAAGCTGTCCCTTTGATCTTGCTGAAAGCAAGGAAATCAGTCATTTTAATCTCCACACAACCAGGATCTAACACCTATAGTTTTACTTTAAGTACTGAATTTAGTAGTAGCAGCTTATTGTACATGTTTCACAACATTTTGGAACAAAGAACAATGCATTACTTCACATGACAAATGTAATTTAGGTGTTTTTTAAAAATACTGTTTGTCGCCTAATTTTGTTTTAGAAATGTGGCTTGGTTTTAAGCTGGAAACGTGTGCAAGGAGCATCTGGGAAGCTTCAAGGTAAGTTTAGTATGTAGGAGCGTCACTCCTTCTGTTATGACTCCCATAGGTATATTTTTCATAAAGTGTGTGTGTGTGTGTGTGTGTGTGTGTTATTTATTATTTATTTATTTTTTATAGTGAGCAAATCTGTAAAAAAATGAGCTACACAGTTTTCATTCAAATCTCATTTACTCTTGCACTATATTGTCAAGTAATGGGATGCCACTCCAAATCACTGGATTTAGCTGTTCCAATCACCTCCATGGCCACAGGTGTATAACATCAAGCACCTAGGCATGCAGACTGCTTCTACAAACATTTGCGAAAGAATGGGTCGCTGTTTGAAGCTCGGTGAATTGAAAGGTGGTACCGTGATAGGTTGTCAACTGTCCATTCGTGAAATTTCCTTGCTACTAAATATCCCACGGTCAACTGTTAGTGGTATTATAACAAAGTGGAAGCAACTGAGAACAGCCACGAAGTGGTAGGCCACATAAAATGACAGAGTGGGGTCAGTGCATGCTGAAGCTCACAGTACGCAGAAGTCACCAACTGTCTGCTGAATCAATAGCAAACGCCTCCAAACTTCGTGTGGCCTTCAGATTAGCACAACAGTGCGTAGAGAGCTTCATGGAATGGGTTTCCATGCCTGAGCAGCTGCATCCAAGCCTTACATCACCAAGTGCAATGCAAACTGTCGGATGCAGTGGTGTAAAGAATGCCGCCACTGGACTCTAGAGCAATGGAGACGTGTTCTCTGGAGTGACGAATCACGCTTCTCTGTCTGGCAATCCGATGGATATGTCTGGGTTTGGTGGTTGCCAGGAGAGCAGTACTTGCCTGTCGGCATTGTGCCAAGTGTAAAGTTTGGTGGAGGGGGGATTATGGTGTGGGGTTGTTTTTCAAGGGTTGGGCTTGGCCCTTTAGTTCCAGTGAAGGGAACTCTTAAAGCGTCAGTATACCAAGACATTTTGGACAATTTCATGCTCCCATCTTTATGGGAAGAGTTTGGGGATGTCCCTTCCTGATCCAACATGACTGCACACCAGTGCACAAAGCAAGGTCCATAAAGACATGGTGAGTGAGTTTGGGGTGGAGGAACTTGACTGGCCTGCACAGAGTCCTGACCTCAACTCGATAGAATACCTTTGGGATTATATAGAGCGGAGACTGTGAGCCAGGCCTTCTCCAACATCAGTGCCTGACCTCACAAATGTGATTCTGGAAGAATGGTGGGACCTTCCCATAGGCACACTCCTAAACCTTGTGGACAGCCTTCCCAGAAGAGTTGAAGCCGTTATAGCTGCAAAGGGTGGGACAACTCAATATTGAACCCTATGGACTTTGTGCAAAGGCAGGCATCCCAATACTTTTGGCAATATAGTGTGTATATTTAAACTTAAATCTCCTGCTTGCCCCCAATCTTTCATCCATGTATTTGTTGCCTGAAAATGTATGTTTAGTGTTAGAGTTGTACTGTCAACTTTTGATGATCTGCATGTCCATTTTATTAGGTTAAACGCACAGGAGAATCTAAACCAGATGCTAATGTGTTAAAAAAAAAACAAATGATACTTTTGGAATGTATGCATTATCCTTTAGGCTTATAGATCATTTAAGTATTGTTACTTTGAGTTATTGTTTTTTTTTCCTTTTTATATAGCTTTTGGGTTTTGTGAGTATAAGGAACCTGAATCCACTCTTCGAGCTTTGCGTTTGCTTCATGACCTGCAGATCGGGGAGAAGAAGCTTCTTGTGAAAGTTGATGCTAAGACAAAAGCCCAACTGGATGAGTGGAAAGCAAGCAGGCGTGCGTCCAATGGGGTGGGTAACTAATGTTTTTGTCCCTGCGCAAAATAGAGATCATAGAACACAACTTCACACAGTTTTTATATCAAGAGTTGGGATAGAATAGTTCTTCTGTCAGGGAATAAGTCTTGTCTGAATTCCTTGGCAAGGTTTCCCTTCAATGTTTGTTAAAACAGCTTAATAAATAAAAAGCACAGGGCTCTATTTTGAACAGGAAGATGGTGACAAAATGCTTGTTCACACCAGCAAGCCATGCTGACTGTATGGCCACTGGTGTACGCTGTAAGACATTGTTTACATTTTTCCACAAAGAATGAGTGACATCTGAATAAATTCCATTCACTGCAGCTGCACTGCAATGTACTTGTTAGCATTGAATCCCGCTGTCAGAAAAATAATGCATGCATTACTTTTTTCAGCGCACACAACATTGGCGTTATGGTGTGAACTGGTACCTTTGCTAGCAGGGCTTTTTGTCTTGTTTGTGTTGTCACTGTGACTGCAGCCAGCGTAGCCCCAACGCATGTGGTATGAATGAGCCCTTAAGAAAAATAAACTCTTTACAGGTTCCAACCATAAAGCAGGGGCAAAGATGATGAGCCATGGGTGCCTTTTTTTTTTTTTTCATTCCTGTTCGTAGCTGGAGATCACATAAAACGTTTTGGTGATTATTATGACTGCATTCAGAAATGCAGCACACACCATAGGAGGATCTCACAATTGTAAAATTTCGTTTATCGAAGTATCTTCTGAAATTTACGTTCATGGTTCATATTGCTAGCATGAAATATATAAGAAATGTGTTTTTCTCATTATGTAGACTGCCCGGTCTGAATCAACAGCAGAAGACGATGATGACCTTGATGAGGAAACAAAAAGACGGGATGGAGTCATTAAAGGAGCAATCGATCTCTTAATAAAAGAGTATTCCAGTGAGTTAAATGCTCCTTCTCTGGATGTAGACTCGCATCCTAAAAAGAAAAGAAAGGATAAGAAAGAAGAAATATCTGTAAGTGACGTTAACTGTCTTATTGCATTGTAAACAGAATTAAATGATACAGGCTTAACTCTGAAAGCTTTGAAGCTCATTCTCTTAACCTCCCTGGTGGTATTCCCGAGTGTAGCTCTGGGTAAAGTTTCAGTACCAAAAGCGGTAACCCCCGAGCTACACTCGGGCTTACCATGCAGCGTTGCATAGGGAGTCCCTGCAGCGCTTACCTTGTCCTTCGCTCCCGCGATGCGTCCCCTGCTGTGTCCCCGGCCATCTCCTCCGGCCGATGCCGGCATCCGGCTTCCGTGTTCCGGTCCGTAACGTCGGGACGTACAGGCGCCGGAACCGGCGGCAAATTTGAAATTTTTTTTAAAAAATTTCTTTTTTTAAAAAATTATTATTACATAGTAAAACATTGCTGTTTCAAAACATTTCACATACATTTTGTCCCGAGTGCTTTGTCCTGTCCCCTGTCTGCATTTCGACTGTTCTTTCTGCCTGGAACTTAGAAAAGTCCATGGCGTCCAAAAAGCGTCCCTTTATGTCAAAAGTGGTTTTAGACCAGCTAGAGAACAGCGATAGTAAATCAGAACCACTTGCAGTATTGAGTGATAATGATTTGTGGGGAAATTTGGCATCAGACACTGAAAACGATTCTGCGACTTTGCTTAGCGATGTGCGAATTTGGCACTATATTTCAAATTTCAGTGTTTTTGGTTTGATTATATTATTAAATTTATTATTATTATATTATTTTTTATGATTAGTTATGAGTTATTCCTAAATTACAGGCCTACAATAAAAAAAATACATATTTCCATGCAAAAAAATGGTACCGCTTTCAGCACCAAAAATCTGAAATAATCATACCGCTAGGGAGGTTAACAGATGTTATTTTCACCACTAAAAACCAATGAGAGCTGAACATGATTAGTATGTTAGATTAGGTGTCTTGGTAACTGAGGATTTTATACAGTAGGGTGGCTTGGTATAATTAAGCTTGCTTGGAAAAAGTCATCCTGAAATCTTTTGTTCACACAGCAATTTGAATACGATTATGATCCCAGAAAATTAAGTGTGTAAACGCACCTTACCACCAGTGGTCTCTCTAACAACTGAAACTGTTGAACCTGATGCCTGTAGGTTGCTTAATCCTCTTAATGCTTTTTTGTGTTGAAGAGCTAGTATAGAGCTGAGTTTCTGGAACATTTGACTTTTATTTCTACAGCAGTGATACCATATAGAAATATTTATTGAAAACTTCAAGAAATGTTCTGGCCATGTTGACATTTGGCCTAACTTTGAAGATGTAAACAAAAACTTCTGAATCAGTTAAAACATATCTAAACCCTAAAAGAAAAATGTACAGTAATATTGCATCTTCTTAGTTCTCAGATCTGGTGGTTTTTTGCACCTGATGATTCTGTCATTAACCCTTCCTGTTCTAGAGTGACACTGCTCATTTACTGCACAATATAAGTGGGGAAGCAGCATTGTCATTTCAGGTTGCTGTCCTGATTGGACTACAAACACCACCTTCCATCTCCATCACATAGGGGTAGGTGTCTGTAGTACACAAAAGATAGCTGGTAAAGCTGTTAACCTTGTTAAGGATCAGTTCAATGCTTAGGAAGTTACAAGAACACTGAAACTTGGGCACGTCAACAGTAGTTTTCTGTTCTTGTAGAAAATGTACCTTGCCTGAAAAAAGAACTAGTGCAACAACCATTGGTAAGCTACAAATTTCATATTATTGGGTTTAGATATCCTTTAGGATATTTGAATCTCTGCTTTAACCTTTTTGTGATCATTTACATTTTTGTCATACTTCAAATGGATTGCTGTTAGTATGTTACTACTTGTGTTGCAGCAGATTTTTCCTAAATTATTCTCCAAGATGGTTGACTGGAGAGAGATGACTGCCCACCTGCAGGAAACACAAGACTAAAGAGTTTGAAATGATGGCATCCAAGAGCCATCAACCTCAGTTCTTGTGTTTCCAGTTCCGGTACAAGTAAGAATCAGCACTACAGATACCAGCTGTTGTGGTTAAGGGACAAATTGGGAGTAGGATCTTGCTTAAAGTAGTAGTAAACTCAAAAGCAAACATTTATTATATTGCAACTTACCAGATTATAAATGTGATGGCTGCATTAGCTTGCTTCTATTTTCATCTGGTGATCAGCCAGTAAGTTGTTTTTTTTTAACAGAAAAGCTCTCGCAGATAACAGACCATTTAATACTGGCATTGTCAGCTTTTATTTATTTTTAACCTTTATCCCGAAAGGAAAACACTATTTGCTGTAACTGATTAAAAAGTATTAGTTGAAGTTCAGCTTCAGTTTGCCACTGTATTTAAATCTGGTATCCATCTAATATTCCACTCCCCCAGACTGACAATAGTGCTGTCCAAATCTGCCTCCTGTGCTCATTCATCCAGAGTGATGTCTGTATAGTACACGAGGTGTGTTGCTGGCCATATCACTAGGGAGAAGCCAAAAAAAAATCTAAAACAGCCACTGCATTTAATGATTGGTAAACTGCAATATATAACATTTATGGTTTTGGGTTGAATACCTCTTTAAAGCTTGAGTACATGTCTTCCTCTGGCTAAGGTGGAGATCGTGGCATCATCTGCATTTTCCCTTCATTGATTAAATATAGTGTTTCCAGCGAATGCCTGAGCAGCGCTCGGCCAGACTTAATTTTGTTCTGGGAGCAAGATGGTAAGTCCTCATCCCTCTGGCCGAAACGCTGATGCTGCATACAGTTTGGACAGTGTCCCCATTGGGTGCATCTGATAGGCTTTAAAGCAAATGGATGCTCCAGCTTTCGGCCCAGTATCCGATCTCGCAAAGAGGGTTAAAGCAGTGGAGGAATCCTTGGTTGTCATCAAAACAAATATCTGGAGGAAACGAGCGGATTCTCTCAGAAAATATTACAGCAGTCACATACCTAAACCACCAGGGATGAATTGAATCCAGATCTCTGGGAAGGACTGCAGATTCTGTTCTTTTGTCGAAAAAAGCCAAGATTCACTGATAGCAACTCACATCAGGTCTCTGAGAATTGCATGATGTATCTCCTGAGCAGAAAAACTCCCTGAGACAGGGAGAGTGTGCGTCCCTCCTGGAGCTTTTTCAGTTCCTAGTCTGATGCTGGGGCTTACTTTAGATAGACTTGTTGGAAACTGCATAAAATAAGAAGTTGGAAACATGTTTCTGAGCCCACAGGATAAGTTCTCTGGGAATTCAAGATGGCTTACAAATTTTCTCTCAACAGCTCTCCTGGGCAAAGTAATACAGAAGGATCATCTTGTGGAATTCTAGAATCCTCCTTTGTGTCTGAAGAGGACATGATTCTCTGCTCTCCACACGTCAAATGACCATCTGATTACCCAAAGACAGATCTTACACCCACACATTTGGGAACTGCATTTGGTGGTCTAGATCTTGCAAAGATCCTTTTTAAGTGGAAAGGATTCTCAGATAATTATTTCCTATCTTCCTGTACAGAAAGCCAGTCACCACAGCTGATTACATTAGATTTGGATTAAGTATTTTGCTTGGGCTAGGCACTACAAATTCAACCCAGCAGAAAATTTTCATGCCCTAGATTACTTTTAGAGAACAGGATAAGGGTCTTGCTATCAGTAGTACCCTCAAAGTGCAGGTAGCAGTACTAACGGTCTACTTAGGAACTTGGTGTTAGATGGTTCCCTCCTGGAACCCCCCTTTTGGTACTAGACTACGACAAAAAACCCCTTCAAACCAATGGAAGAGGCGTCCTTGAAGTGGACTCTTTTAGCAGCCATCATGTCAGTGTGACAAGTCTGAACTCCAGGCTTTTTCAGTGAAATTACCTTTTTATACCTTGCGTCAAGACACATCATACTTTTCCTCCCTTGGTTAGCCATCAAATTTAACAGAACCCAGGAGTTAGTCTTACTGTTTTTCTGACGGAATACCACAAACCCCAAAGCAGTAGCGTTTGCCTCACTGGATGTTCGCAGGTGTATTTTTTAGGGATGCACTGAAATTTCGGTGGACGAATCATTTCAGCCGAAGTGAAAAAAAGCACCAATACAGGTGCCGAAAAAAACCCCGCCTCTCGCCGCCGCTGCCGTCACCACTTGGTAGTTCTCAGCCTTACCTGAGAAACCATCAACGATCCCGGCGCTGGGCACAGGGATGAGTGAAGGAAAGATGGCCTCCACTCATCTCTATGCCCCTGGAGGACTAGAGCGATGTCACTTCCGCTTCCGGGCATTTAAAAAAAATTTTTTTTAACACACTAGATCAATGCTTTTTTTTTTTTTTTTTGATCCAATGCTTTACATTGCAGAGGAGAGATGTGGGGTCTTATTGACCTCATATCTCTCCATTAAGAGGACCTGTCACAAATGATTTCTATCACAAGGGATGCATGCATTTCTTGTGATAATAAAAGTGATTAAACTTTTTTTAAAGGGACAGTGCAAAATAAAAAAAAAAGTTTTAACTGCCCCCGTGCTCGCACGTAGTGGTGAACGCACATGTAGGCTATGCCCACATATGTAAATGGTGTTCAAACTACACGCGTGAGGTATCGCCACGAACGTCAGAGCAAGAGCAATAATTCTAACACTAGACCTTCTCTAACTTTACACTGCTAACCTGTAGACATTTGTAAAGCATTACCCATGGAGATTAAGAGTTTCATGCCATTCCACGAGCGTGCACAATTTTAAAGCGTGACATGTTTGGTATCCGTTTACTCACCGTAACACCCTCTTTCATATTTTACAAAATAATTGGGGTATATTTTGTTTTTTTTAATCAAAAAGTATTTTTTCCAAAAAATGTTAATTCATTTTTAAAAACTGCGCATTTCGGTTTTCGGCCAAGTGCATTTTGAATTTTCTGTTTCGGCGCCAGAATTTTCATTTCGGTGCAGCACTACTGTTTTCAAATCAAGCATATCAGACATTTCAGAAAGTCCTATCCTCTATTCATTCTGCTCCATATTTGCAGCATACAAAAAAAGGATCCCAAAGCCTCCATAACATTGAAATCACTGTGACTTCTCGCTTCTAGGCTGGCCTGAGCATCACTGCGCACACTATTAGAGCATGTCCTGGGCATTTGTATGGTTAAAAAGTAGTTCTCTTGCTACTACTGAGGTTGCTACCTCCTGGGAGCCAATTTAAACTCTAGCTTTGTGTTTTCTACAGGTGGGGGGAGCCATCTCTCTCCTGTCGACAGTCCTGGATGACTCCTGGAAAAGGGGTTATCAGGTAATACATTTTTTTTATAATTTGACTCTCCTTGTAATGGTTTGAATCTAGTGAATAAAAAAAGTAAATTAAAAATGTTACTGATAATTTTGCAGCAAGAAGACATAAATGCAATAGAAATGGAGGAAGATAAGAGAGACCTTATATCTCGTGAAATCAGTAAATTCAGAGACACACACAAGGTAATTTTCACTTTTGTTTTTCCATTCAAAAGAACATGTGCTTTTTTCAGATTGAAGAACCACATAGTTGTAGCACAAGCATCATCCCTATATGTGAGAAGATGAATGCAGGCATTGAGGTTCAGCGGTATATGTATATAATTTATTTTCTAATCATTGTTCAGCTTGAACAAATGTAATTCATGGTAGTTTTCAGTTATCAGCTGATATGCTGTGCCACAAGAAATTCAGATAGTCTCACACACTTGTATTCCAAATTGATACATACAGCATTTTAACATTTGATTAACTTAAACTCACTGCCATACATTGTCATATCTGTAACACCATCACACTTCACTGATAAAAAAAAGCTGATTAAATTCAAAGCTTTTTACACGCTTTGTAGTGATTAAAAATAGATGAGTGGTTTCCACATGTGCCACAATTAAGATGCATGGAAGAATTGTAAATTCCCTTTAAAGCTAATCTATTCATTGACCCCCACCATTATGATAGAGATCATATGGTGACTAATGCAAGATGAAACTCACAGCTTGGAAAGTAACATGGAATATGAATGTAAGTATGAGCTCCTGTTTTTATTCTATATATTTCGGATACCCCCTCTGAAAAAATGTGCAAAGTGGCAACTGGCTTTGCTAGTGTATACTATATACGTAGCAGGCTCCCAGAGTCCTTAGCCTGTTCAGTATACAATTTGCTGTTTATTTTGAGTCCACTAATTGATTGGTATGGCATTATATCCTTATTAGCTAAGAAAATCTTGTGACTTTTTGGTGACAGTAATGTTTGCACCTGTTCTTACCTGGAAAGGTGCTCTGTAAGTATGGCATCTTTCTATAGGCTCACTGTTTAGTTTCACACAAATATTTGAGTCATGAAAGTTTGTTAGTAAATTTAAATGGATCAAGGGGCTTTTTGCTGATTTTTGGGGTACAGGTCATTCATTGTAAATGCTCTGTTGTGATTTTTCCCAGAGCCAATTCCCAGAGCACAGTGAACCTTTGCATGTTTGTGTTAGGGCTGTCTAAAATAACACTGTAGCCTCCTTATGGCTGTCAGGGTATCAGTAATGTAGGGGGTGTCCATTTACAGCACTGATGAATCTGAAGACAATAAGGTAAGAGTCTCTTTATTAAGTCTTCTATCTCTCTGGTTTTACTACCTGTCCTTTTGTTTTTTCCTTTTTCCCCACATCCCTTTAACAAAGTGCAATAAAACTTAATTGGCCATAGTAACATATTCAGCAAAATATTTCTGTGAATTTGTTACCATAGATTGCCATGCTGCTTTTTGTCTTACTGGCAGAAGGTCAATGTTAATTGCAAAAGCCCTTAATATCACCCTTTAGTTCCTAGATGGTAACATTTCCTTCTGTCTAATATTTTTGGATCATCCTATGAAACCTGGAGCATGTAATGTAAGTATTGATTGTGCTGGTTCAGTTTAACTTTTCAATTGTAATATCTGAAAGAGGTAAGTTTTTTTTTTTTTTTTAGAGCTAAAAATGCCCCAAATGGCAATAATTTATGTAGACATAACATAGAATAAATTTGGTTATCCATTGTGTGAAGCACTTTGTATTTTTAACGCTCATTCTCCCTTCCTTTCCTTTTCCATTCATGCCTGTCCTTGTAACCTTTGCAAAACTCTAAAACACACTATGCTTTAACCCCCTGGCATTTGTGGACCTATGCATTTGCTTGTGAAAGCTTTCACCTTTCTGTCCCTTTCACCTTTCTGTCCCTTTCACCTGTATACAATTTCCTCCTGGATTCCGAATACAGCTGGGTATGAAGGTAAGAAGTTTTAAAGATTTATTTTAATGCCTTATTCTGTTAAAAACAATGTGTTTTGCTATGCCTGTATTGCAGTAGTGTACTTTAAATTTTCATTTCAGTGATGTTTAAAAACATGCCATTGGAGGGATTTAAAGTATTTGTTAGGAAATGCCATGAAGTGTAAAATATTTGTGCCCTAGAATGGTCTTGTTTGTCTTTGAAAATGTACTTGCTCTTCCTCCCAGAATCATAGCTTGTAGGCAAAGTTAATCCCGTGTTGGAGAGCCATGTCCTAGCTCATCATCTGTAAGTTAATTCAAACCATTGCTAACAAGGATGAATATATGATCTATGGATGTCTTGTTCCCAATGTGTTCAAGGTACTCTGGGCGTAGACACTTTTGTTTTTCTTTTTTCCACATTAAACTGATTGATATTTTTGGCCATTGCTATGGAACGAATGGATTACCCCTGTAGATTCCATGTTGCAAGCGATTTCCAACCTTCCTGAGTTTTCCAACCTTCTAAGTTTAGCATCACCTGTGAAGAGCTTTGCCAACTTTTGTAAGTGCTGAAATTCTTAGTCTTGCTATAGGTAAATGTTGCCATTGCATTCAATCGGTATCCACCAATTTTTTTTTTCCTTGTACAACTTGACCCCAACATTGTGTACCTAACTGGTACACACATTTTTTGTTTCTTTTTCTATGCTCCAAAGCAGCATTTCATGTTTGTTTGTTTTTTTTCCCTCCTTCCCACATGTAATCATTTTTATGTAGCCGTTCTTAATACAAGATACAGTGGGTGTTAAACTGAAAGCAAATAACTCAATCTCAACCACCAGTACAATATAATAATGATCATATGGGAAGCTCATATTGAGCCTCAGGACATTCCTCTTGTCTCTCTATTCTTATTTGATAAAATAAAGATAGACGTCACAGGTGCTGTAATTTAAGAGGCCAGGTACTATTGGTTAGGTTACACTTGAAATATTTTTACACATGCAGTATTTCCCTTGCTTTAGTGCTTCTATTACAATTAAGTTTATTGCTGGAAAGAGTAGCTTTAACATTTCCATGGCACCCACTACACTGACCCATAGGAAACCATTTAGGTCAGAGCAGTTAGTGTTATCGGAGAGTGACAACTGCAGTGAGAGAAGCAGCTTATTCATCAGGTAAGCTATATTCTGGCAAAATATTTTTAATAGAACCCATTCTAATATTAAGCTATTACTGACACAGTTTTTGGTACTTGTCTGTTAATTCACCGGATATATATATATATATATATATATATATATATATATATATATATATATATATATATATATATATATATGATATATTTAAATAAAACATATAAGAAAAAAAATAAATATATATATATATAGATTTATTTTTATATATATATATATATATATATATATATATATATATAGATTTATATATAAATAGATCCAGTGAATTAACAGACAAGTACCCAGTTTTTTAGTTTAATGGAAGGCTGAAACAAGCATATGATTGAATACTGGGCTTTTTTTTTTTTTTTTTTTCCATTATACTGTATCTATTAGCTTGCATATTCACTTCACTTATGTTTTCACTCAAATATGAAGTGCTGCTTTAATTTAAGCCCAAGTCCCCTTACAGAAATCATGGTTGGAGATTGCTGTTCCTCGTAGCTATTTACTTCTTGCACGGAATCTAGTCTTGTGCCTTTTTCTTTTTGCTACACATTTTGATTTTCTTTTTTTGTTTTTGATCCCTTACTTTCATTCACAATGAATTAATACGTTTTACCTCTTTTTATAGAAACTTGAGGAAGAAAAGGGCAAAAAAGAAAAGGAGAGGATAGAAATTGAGAAAGAGAGGCGCGAAAGAGAGCGAGAACGGGAACGAGAAAGGAGAGAACGGGAAAGGGAAAGAGATAAAGAACGCGAGCGGGAGCGTGAGAAGGAGAAAGAACGAGAGAGAGAACGGGATCGTGATAGGAATAAAGACCGAGAACGAGACAGAGATCGTGATAGAGAACGAGATCGTGAGAAGGAGAGAGAACGAGCAAGAGACCACAGTAAAGACAGAAGCCGATCAAGGTTTGAACATTTTGTTTGTTGCACTGTTTATAATTCCCAATGGAAAAGTATCCAGGGGGGTAATTTCATGACTTTATCACATAAAGGGGAACTGCACTGCATCTAAGTAGCACAAACACTGTATTTCATTTTTCATATTCAAAACAAACTCCTCCATCCATCCGTGTGTCCATGCTTTATGTTGCTGAGAAATCATTTTAAAAAACACCTCCTGGCATTTTTGGCAGGGGCCATCATGAGTAAGGGCAGATGATTCATGTAGCAGTTACTTCCTGCAATCCTTCTGTCCTTAGCTCAAGCATTGACTGAGCTGAGAACCCTCCTGAAGACTTCTGCGATGTATGACATCATTTGGCATGGATTCCAGGAAGTAAATGAATGCAAAAAATAAAGGTTAAAACAAGTAAATATGATTTTCAATTTACGAATGGTAGTAGCATAAGGATTAGAAATGGTCCATGTTAATTGGGAGAGTGAAGCTCCGCTTTAATCTACAGCAGTTCCTCAAAAGCTTGGCTAATGTGTGGCTATACATAATGTAAATTATGCTGCCTAAATATACAGATTGAAGGAGAAGTAGAGCTAAAGCTCTTTTGGCCCTACTTTACCTGGGGATTACAGGCGTGAACTTCATTCTGCACTCTCTTTTCAGCCGATTGCCTGCTGACATCACTGAACTGGTCCAGGCTCTGGAGAGAAATTATTTTAATGTTTGGATCCATCCAGATGCCTGGACCGGTAGCTTACTCAGCTTCTCAGCGAGTCGCTGAGACCCCGATGCAGCCACTCCCCAACCCCTTCACAGTCTGGCCCTCCAGTGAGTTCTGGAAGAGCAGATCAGAGATCCAGCGACTGACAGTCACTGGCTCTCTGCTCACTGAAGACCGAGAGCTGAGCAGTCAGTAGTCCTTGATCGCTCAGTTCTTTGTCTTAGAAGCAATGGTGGTCAGAAGCAGCGGACCAGTACTGCATCAACCTTAATGAGTAGGTGTGAGTTTTTAACAATACCAAAATTTCTCTTTTAAATGTGTTGGGGAAATGAATGCTGGATTCTTGGGAGATTTATTTGGGTTTTGCTTCTCGTTCACAATTGATTTTTTTTTTTTTTAAGGGAGAAAAGCAGAGACCGTGATAGAGAGAGAGAACGAGAGCGTGAAAGAGAGAGAGAACGAGATAGAGAAAGGGAAAGAGAAAAAGAGAAGAAGCGAGACAGAGAAGAAGATGAAGAGGAAGCTTATGAACGTCGAAAACTGGAAAGAAAATTGCGTGAAAAGGAAGCTGCATATCAAGAGGTAATCACATGCAAAAGTCTTGAGAGGTTAGAGGGTACAGGGGTGATCTTACTGGAAAGGCCTCATTATCTGCAGTTTTATTTCTTCACTCACAGTGCTGGTGCTGTGGTTTCCGGAGGTAAGAGTTTTAAATTCTAAACCCTCCTATAAGAACTGTTGTTGTGGGTATAATAAAGTATAGGCATGTAAGGGTGCTTGCACATACCTGCAGTAGCTTCTTAGGCATTTCCTGATGGTTCCGATGCTTGTCAGTCCTTTGCCGCCTCCTCTATATTCCTATTGGCCAGTGAGGCAGCCCATAATAGTGGTGGGTCACTGGAAATTGTGTGGAGTCTGGGATTTAACACAAAATTTCAGTACTAGCCACAAGTGTCAGAGCTTTATTTGTCATAACAGCAAGGGAATCAAATGTGACAAAATGAACACAATCTAAAATGTAACCTTAACCGATAAACTAAACTCTTATACCTTTAAAGAAACCCTGTAGCAGAATTACCTTCACTTGTGTTGAGAGCAGTGACATTGAAAAAGAATACCACCAACCTCCAAGTGCTGAAAGCAAAATATGCAGAGTCTGATGGTTGTGAAAAAATTGAAGGAACTTATGGAGGTTACTTGTTTTTACTTTTTGTCTCTTGGCAAATATGTAGAAAATATGAAGGAAATATTAGTTTAAAGCGGTAGTAAACCACATTAAATAAACTGGTTGCCCTGCAGGCTCATGTCAATGTGCTGGTATGCACCACACACTAGGACGTTATGACATACCTAAAAAACAGATCCCTCCAGCGGCAGGCTGTAAAGTTTAACAAAGATTCCATCTTCACCCAGTCTTTCTTTTGGGTTTGCAGGCTCTGACCTCACTCCTGCGGAATAGCAGCGTGCACCGGTGACATCACTGGCTGCTACTGTATAAAACACCTGCTAAACGGCATACATTTAGGAGATATTTACCGTATTTTCCGGCGTATAAGACGACTTTTCAACCCATAAAAATCTGATGAAAAGTCGGGGGTCGTCTTATACGCCGGTATACGGCGAGCTGGAGTCAGGACGGCACTTTTTCGAGGGGTGGCGCGGCGCCGCCCCCCCTCCCCCCCCCCCTCCTCCCCCCCTCCTCCCCCCCCTCCTCCCCCCCTCCTCCTCCAACGGACACTAAGTACAGGGGTGGGCAGAGGGGCTGCTGTACCTTAACTGGCCCCGGTCCCACGACGATCCGGTACAGGAAGCGCGGCTGCTCCTTCTTTCAGTTTGGCCACGCGGCCGCTCGGCTCCGCCGCCTCACCGGTGATTGGTCGCCAGCACTGGAAAGGCACACAGGCGACCAATCACTGGCGAGGAGGCGGAGCCGAGCGGCCCCCGCGAAAATCGAGCGGCCGAACGGAACGAAGGAGCAGCCGCTCCTCTCCCCCACTGACACTAACGACGGGGCACTATTCCTCCTCCACACTGACACCAACGATGAGGCACTGTTCCTCCCCCACTGACACTAACGATGGGGCACTATTCCTCCTCCACACTGACACCAATGATGGGGCACTATTCTCCCCACTGACACCAATGATGGGGCCCTATTCTCCCCACTGATACCAATGATGGGGCCCTATTCTCCCCACTGATACCAATGATGGGGCACTATTCTCCCCACTGATACCAATGATGGGGCACTATTCTCCCCACTGACACCAACGATGGGGCACTTTTCCTCCTCCCCACTGACACCAATGATGGGGCACTATTCTCCCCACTGATACCAATGATGGGGCGCTATTCCTCCCACTGACACCAATGACGGGGCGCTATTCCTCCCACTGACACCAATGACGGGGCGCAATTCCTCCCACTGAGACCAATGATGGGGCGAAATTCCTCCCACTGAGACCAATGATGGGGCGCAATTCCTCCCACTGACACTAATGATGGGGCGCAATTCCGCCCACTGACACTAATGATGGGGCGCAATTCCTCCCACTGACACTAATGATGGGGCGCAATTCCTCCCACTGACACTAATGATGGGGCGCAATTCCTCCCACTGACACTAATGATGGGGCGCAATTCCTCCCACTGACACTAATGATGGGGCGCAATTCCTCCCACTGACACTAATGATGGGGCGCAATTCCTCCCACTGACACCAATGATGGGGCGCAATTCCTGCCACTGATACCAATGATGGGGCGCTATTCCTCCCACTGACCCTAATGATGGAGCACTATTCCACTGACACTAATGATGGGACACTATTCCTCCCACTGACACCAATGATGGGGCACTATTCCTCACACACTGACACTAATGATGGGGCACCATCATTGGTATCAGTAGGAGGAATAGTGTCGCATCATTGGTGTCAGTGGGAGGAGTAGTGCCTCATCATTGGTATCAGTGGGAGGAATCGTGCCCCATCATTGGTGTCAGTGGGAGGAATCGTGCCCCATCATTGGTGTCAGTGGGAGGAATAGCACCCCATCATTGGAATAACATACTGAAATAGCATACCATATTGAAATCAAATCTGATGTTTTTTCATTTTTATTTGGTGTGCGTTGGAAGAGGGGTAGTCTTATACGGCGAGTATAGCCCAAACACTACATTTTAGCAGGAAAAGTAGGGGGTCGTCTTATACGCCAGAAAATACGGTACTGTTTTTACAGGTCAGCTTTATTATAGGCTTATCTGTAGGTACAAGATAAAAAGCAGAGTTTACTACCGATTTAAAAGAGAAAGTACGGCAAAAGCTTTTTATGGGCCATACATCTCCTGGGAGTCACAGGAGTGCGCACTTACTTTTGCTACCCTGTAACCCAGAGTAAGATGTCATAGAGCTGCCTGATTGACAACTGGCTGCAGCTCTTGGTGCACATCTGAAAGCCAAAGCCAGCTGTGTTCATTCTCTCTCCCTCCCCAGCTGCACTCCAGTGAGCACTGGAGGGGCACAGTGGAGAGTGATGAGTAACCATCACTGCTCACTTATTTTAGCAGACTGAGAACTGAGCAATCTGTAGTTATGTTGACCGATCAGTTCTCGGTCTTAGAGCTGACGTAGGACAGCTGCAGCATCACACTGAAGGAGCAGCATAGATTCGAGTATGTATGCTTTTTTTCAGTTCCTATACTTCTCTTTTTAAAATGGTATATAATTCACATTTAAGTTCAGGGTTGTGTGGTTAAAATAAAATGTACACTAATTAGTGTAAAGGTATTTTTAAAATTAATTTTGTCTCATGGCTTTTCAGCGTCTCAAAAACTGGGAAATCAGAGAGAGGAAAAAAGCCAGAGATTATGAGAAGGACGCTGAAAGGGAGGAGGAAAGACGAAGGGACATGGTATGTTTTGAAAGGTTGTGTAACCCAAATCCTTTAATTTGTTTTTTTATGGCAACTGATCTTTTGCTAACTGCCCTATAATAGGCTAAAGAAGCCAAAAGGTTGAAGGAATTTTTGGAAGATTATGATGATGACAGAGATGATCCCAAGTATTACAGGTAATTTTTGCTTGATTACATGCTGTCATTTCACTATCCGTTATCTAAACAGGAATAAAATAGTGATTGCAGTTCAGCCATGTATTATTCTAAGAAGAATATGCCTTTAACTTTCTTCATTGGTGCGTTTTGCAAATATAGAAGAAAAACCTCAAGCCCATTTTGTTCAAAGAAGAAAAAATCCTGTGCTGCATGCAAAGACATAGACTCTGTAATGGAACATGATTGAAGTGAATGTGCAAGCTCAAGCCAAATGAGTGAAGTAATAGAACGTGAATGAAATGCTTTTAGTGATCTTGGAAAATTTGAAGTATTGAACTCAATGACTTTAGAAAGCTTTTTACACCCTGTTCCAAATTATTATGCAAATTATATTTTTTTCATTTACCTAAATAATTGATGTAAATAACAGTCAGCATAATTCTCATGTTATCAACTATTAAGAGTACAATTCAAATTTTATTGAACAAACCTCCTAATGATAACAGGATTTTTTTTAAACCTAAAACACTTACAATACACTGTTCCAAATTATTACGCACAGTAAGTTTCAAAACACTTTATAGGTTGTAAAGAACTGAAAATTGTCATTTGTTGTGTTTGCAGCATATTTACTGAAATCAAAAGCTATTTCAATCAAACTTTTAACAACATTTTAACTTTTTAAACATTTTACCAGGTCACGTTACATTGTAACATAGGACCCCTTATTTGATAGCAGCTTCACAAGTCTTGCATCCCTTGAACTGAGTTTTTGGACATTTTCTGCTTGAATTTGTTTGCAAGATGTCAGCCTCCCAGAGCTGCTGTTTGGATGTAAACTGCCTCCCACCCTCATAGATCTTTTGCTTAGGATGCTCCAAAGGTTCTTATAAGGATTGAGGTCAGGGGGGAGGATGGAGGCCACACCATGACTTTCTCTAATTTTATCGCCATAGCAGCCATTGATGCAGAGGTATTCTCAAAAGTGAATTTCTTGCACCAGTAAACACATGATGCCTACCTCCATATTCCCATTTTCCTATTACACCACTGCTTTCCGCATTTTGCTGTGGGAAGCAGTCGTTTCCAGTTTGTGGCACTGCCATTTCTCTGCACCCTGACTGCTCACAAAAGTGCTTGCCACACTTCTGGCTTCTACAAATCTAGGGCAATTCATGTCATGGGTTACTTGAAGGGCTGTTTAGCCCAGGGCCTTATCTGCTAACATCCGAAAGACTATCCAGTTCCTTCAAACCTTTGGCTGGATAATTAACTTTCCAAAGTCCAGCCCTCTCACTTTCTGAAGTTACTTGCGTCTAATCTTGGACAAGCCTGATTCAGAATCTTCCTCTTTGAGAAGACTGCCTTCCTAAGGTTCAGCTTGCAGCCCTTAGGTCACAACGACACACCTATTACACACTTCTGCATGAAGGTTCTGGGCCTCATAGTGGCATCTTTCAAGGCAATTCATTTTGAGGGGGCAGGTGGGGAGCAGTGTATACACCCAGGCCCCCTAACTGGCTGCCCCTATGTCACTGCTTATAGTGTCACTGTTACTATAGCTCCTTCTCGGGGCTATAGTGAAGAAAAAAAAAAAGCCGGTATTTGCATTTAAAAACAATGCGGGGTCACTGGGTAATGTCACTAGGTAATCCCACTCTTTAGTTTCCCTTAGTGGAGGGGAGAATGACAGTTCATTCTCAGAGCTATAGTAAAGGGAACAAAAAAGACAGTAATTACATTTTGAAAATTGCATTGTTTTTAAATGCAATTAATGGCTTTTTTTTTTTTTCTTTCTTCACTATATCTCCTTGAAGGAGCTGTCATTCTCCCTTCTGCTAAGGGAAACTAAGAGGCAAGGTCACCCAGTGACATTACCCAGTGACTCTGCCCCTCAGTGTCCTTTAGCTGAGGAGAGAATGACAACTCATTCTCGGAGCTATAGTGAAGGTAAAAAAAACGGTAATTACATTTAAAAACCGGCAGTGACATTTAGTGGTATCTCACTATATACAGTGCTCCTCTCCTGCCATTTTCTGCCAGCCCCTCATATGCAGTACACACAGCCCCCTAAAGAATGCCAATAGGGCCTTTTTTCGGCCGATATGTTTCAGCCTCCGAAATTTCGGTGCATCCCAAATAAATATATATAAAATAGACCGCCTGATGTTGAATAAATGTTCAATAATGCTGTGTAATATATCTGTACGCATCTGCTCACTGCCCACATGTATTATGAAACTAAGGCTATGTGTGAAGAAGGGTGGAGAGAAATGTGTGCACATGTGCGTACATGCATATACAAACTCACACGTGTGCACATGTATATATGCGTGCACACAAAACATAGGTGGGGTTCTTCTGAATTATTTCACAAATCAGAAAAATAATGCTGCCACTACAACACCATACCTCTTGGCTAAACTGATTGACTACACTCTAAGCATCACACCTGAGTGTAGGAGTTTGTACTGTTGTTGCCTTATTTAGACCAGATTTGCTGGCCAAGGCCCCTATTTCAGTTCTGCTTATTCACTGGCTTAAAGGCATGCCTGTTGAGACCACAGTCCTAAAGGATAGGGGTATCTCTGATTTAGTTCTTTCCACCTTGCTCTGAGCAAGGAAACCCAGCTTCTGCAATGTACTTTTGCATGGTTCTTTTGCTTGGTGTGAGGACAGGAGGCTAAACCCCAGGGAATATACTTACTCATATTTTTGCCTTTTTTCAGGCTGGTCTTCACCGGTGTCTGGCCCTGAGTACCCTCAAGAGACAGGTTTCTGTCTTATCCATAGTGTTTCAGAAACCTCTTGCCTTGCAGTCCCTCATCAAAAGCTTTCTACTGAGAGTTGCTCATATAATTTGACTTCCTCTGTCACCTTTGGATCTAAACCAGGTGCTGTGTTCTTGAGACGACCTCTGAACAAATTAGAGAGGCTTGAAGACCTTTTAAGGTTGCCTTCAACAAGGAAATTGCGGCACATTATTTGGATGTGTTCAGGGCTGCCAGAGCAGCCTCTACCTTTTTTTTTTTTTTTTTTTTTTTTTTTTTTTTTAAACTGAGTTATACCAGTTGGTTGCTCAGGCCTCTTTGTATTAGAGTTTGGGCCACAAGGTGTTTCTCGTGCTGTTATGAGTATTTTTTTTTTGGGGGGGGGGAGGAGTTTCGTCACTAGTGTTTCTTGTGAGCCTATTGGGAGCTCTGTGTTGCTATGTTGTTGCCCATCTCTAGTTTATTGCCAGGGAATGTCCCATGGTCTATGAATATGAAGTACTGTACGATTAAGATAAAGAAGTTACATGCAAGTTAAAACTATCTTGGAGTACAGTACAGGACACAGGTCCCTCGCACTTGTTTTGATTTCTCCTTATTGCTTGCTAAATAAAAAAGCAACATATAAACTATAGTATATGTATATAAATACAAGCCCTGTGCTGTACTTCATGATGAAGGATATACAGGTTAGTCAGAATCCCTAATTTATCCCTAATTCCATAAGCGTATTAGAATTTCTATTCTTACCTGGATGAATTATAAGAATACTACACGTTTTTGCCGGATGTGCATGCATTGGATTTTATGCTACAACTGCTGGCTCTTGTACAGACGTTGACCTTGTGTTAAATGTCATTTCAAATACTGCACCTCCCTAAAATGATGTACTTGTATTGCAGAGGGAGTGCACTCCAGAAGCGGTTAAGGGACAGGGAAAAGGAGATTGAAGCAGATGAACGGGATAGAAAACGAGAGAAAGAAGAACTTGAGGAAATCAGACAGAGGTTGTTGGCTGAAGGACACCCAGACCCAGATGCTGAACTTCAAAGGGTCAGTATTAGGCTTTTATTTTTTCAAAGCTTGTCATTTTGTTTTTCAAAAACACCTCCCTGCATGCAAAACCTGACTCATTTGTTCATTGTCCTGCTAGGTTATGGTTTACACCAGTATCCAGTGCAGCTCTCAATGAGTGTGCATATGGATCTGATTTCATGTTGCCTCAAGAAGTAATAAAACTCAGTAAAAAGCAGTTGTAAAATGTATTATTTGCATATTAGCAAAGCATCTCTAAGTATAGCGTTACTGACTGCCACCTGGGAAGATAATACATTACTGCCCTGGTTAACTTTTGTATTGCTTGGACATTCCAAAAATACCACTCCTAATATTAGTGATAATTAGCGGCGCATTATATATATGTGTCACACTAATTCCTTTTCATAGTCTCTATGTGCAAACTTATTTACACAAATATTAAATGACATAAATTATATGTGACAAAAAATAAACAAGTTATGTATTTTTATTATAGTGCCCACAAAACACCATAAAATATAAGTCCAGTGTAATCAATAATGATTTACAAAAAAAAAAATAAAAATACCTTGCTTAGCATGGTGCAGAACTAGACCACAGAAAATGTTTGCCAATGTCCCATAACTGGGTCCCATAAATTCTGGATGCCCTCTGCCCCATACACTCTTCTACATTTTTGCTATAGCTGTCTGTGAGGCAAACCCAGCATGTCAATTCCACTCACACAAGTATGGCTGTAGCTAGCTGGGGTTTTGTGGGACATTTCTTTGTGATTATCTGTAATCCTTTTGCAGTATCCTTTTTGTCTTTTTTTTTTTTTTTTAAGGCTGGACATTACTTGCTTACTGGACACTTATACCCCCTTCCTGCCCAGGCCAATTTTCAGCTTTCAGCGCTGTCCCACTTTGAAAGATAATTGCGCGGTCATGCAATATTGTACCCATATGAAAATGTTATCTTTTTTTTTTCACACAAATAGAGCTCTTTTTTGGTGGTATTTAATTGTTATTGGGGGTTTTATTTGTTGCACTATCAACAAAATAAGAGAAAAAAATTTGAAAAAAAGTTTTTCTTTGTTTCTATCATAAAATTTTGCAAACAGGTAATTTTTCTCCACTGATGTGCGTTGATGAGGCTGCACTGATAGGCGGCACTGATGAGGTGGCATGATCGGCTGCACTGATGGGTGGCGTTGCTAGGCGGCACTGATGGGTGGCGTTGCTAGGCGGCACTGGTGGGTGGCGTTGCTAGGCGGCACTGGTGGGTGGCGTTGCTAGGCGGCACTGATGGGCACTGATCATCATTGCCGATCTGTTTTCTGACAATTGCTGGTTATCGGCAGTACTTTGCTCACGCTGTGACAGAGTGAGGAAAGTGCAGCCGATAACCGGCAACTGCATTTACCGGGTGATCTGCTGTGTCATTGGACACAGCTGATCACGTGGTAAAAGGCCACTGTGATTGGCCTTTTACCACATCACGTGATCAGCGGTGATCACAGAGATCACCGGGTGCACCAGAGGGCACGTTCTGGAAGGACATGATATGACACCCTCCCAGAACTGGACAACTGCGCTGTAGACGTCATTCGGCTATAGCACGGTTGCCAAGTGGTTAGGGGACATGAGTTGCAGTCAAAATAACTTTGCAATGCAGAGTAACAGTTTTCTACATTTAAAACATTTTATCTTTTGAAGTGTATTATAAAAATTACTTGAAATCTTCTGACACATTGTCTAACAGCATATTTAAATGCTTACAATTTTACTTGTGCATTTGAAAAACGCATTTGTATATTTTAATCTGCATGAATCAATTTTATATTTGATGCTTAGATGGAACAAGAGGCAGAAAGGCGTAGACAGCCACCACAGATTAAGCCTCAACCAGAGTCAGAAGAGGAAGAGGAGGAGAAACCTGTAAGAGAAGCAAAGGTTGAAGAACAGATGGAAGAGGAGGAGGAGCCTGAACCAAAGCCTTGCCTTAAGCCCACCATGAGGCCTATAAGCTCTGCCCCATCTGTCTCGTCTGGTAGTGGACATGCAACCCCCAATTCTCCAGGGGATGAGTCTCCCTGTGGAATCATCATTCCACATGAAAATTCACCAGAGCAACAGCCGCAAGAGGAGTACCGGCCAAAAATAGGCCTGAGCCTCAAATTAGGTGAGTCAAGGTTTCTGGTTGTTTGGCTAGTGTTTGTATGTGAATTTTTGTGTCTTGCAGCCATTTTCTGATTATTGAAATCTCACTTATAGTTTGTGTGTGTTTTTTTTTTTTTTTTTTTTTTTTTTTTCAGGAGCCTCCAGTAGTCCAAGTCAGACAAATGTTGCAAAAAGGAAGAAACTGCCTGTAGACAGTGTATTTAATAAATTTGAGGATGAAGATAGTGATGAGGTGCCAAGAAAAAGAAAACTGGTTCCACTGGATTATGGCGATGATGACAAATCTTCAGCCAAAAATAATGTGAACACAGAAGAGAAACGCAAACATATCAAGAGTCTTATTGAAAAAATACCTACAGCTAAACCAGAGCTGTTTGCTTATCCTTTGGACTGGTCCATTGTAGACACTGTGAGTGTGCTTTTCTGCTTTCAGCTACTTGGCAATTGTTGATGGAAATCTTCATCTGGCCAAATTTTAAATTGGAAATATCTGCACAAGAAGTCTGAGGATTAATATCTACAAATCTTTTTTTTTCTTTTTTTTTTCTTCCTATTAGTATCTTAATCTTACAATCTATAAAGTACAACTAAGGGCAAAACTTTTATTTTTGGATGGATGGGAGACAGACTAGAAACCCTGTTAAGTTTTTATTACTACCTCTGCCCCTGTTAGTCACTCTTTCTATTTGGCATGTTTACTGTTCTCAAAAGGAACTCTTCCAGTGGGGACACTATGGTGGGGGGGGTTTGTCAATGAATTCACCTAAGCTTTCTTTACTCTGTCCAAAATGAAAAGGTTTTTGCCTATAGTTCTACTTTAATCTTTTATATTAAAGTGGTTCTAAAGGTTATTTTTTTCTATAAAATAACAAACTTGTCATACTTACCTGTTCTGTGCAATGGTTTTGCACAGAGCAGCCCCCATTTTCCTCTTCTTGGGTCCCCCGTTGGCAGTTGTGGCTCCTCCCCCTTGCTGAGTTTCCCCAGAGCAAGCTGCTTGCATTGGGGACACTTGCTCGCTCCTGAGCCAGCTCTGTGTGTCTGAGTGTGGTTTAGCCGTACTCCCTCCTACGTCACTGGCTGTGATTGAAAGCAACAAGAGCCAATGGCTCCTGCTGCAGTGCCTCAGCCAACGAGGGGAGAGAGACCTAGGCGAGCCGTGGCTCCTGTGCACAGCTGGATGAAGATCGGGCTCAGGTAAGTTTTAGGGTGGGGGGAGGTGTACACTGAAGGTTTTACCTTTAAACTTAAATAGAGTGCTGGTTGTAAAGTAATTCTAAACCTTAAGCAGCAGCCTCGATCCTCATATTCTGGGGTCCACCTCTGGCACACCTGGCTTCTCATGCCTTCTGAGTATCCATCCTATTTAGCCTTGCTAGGAGGAGGGTACTCATGCGGGCTTGCTCACAAGTCCCTCTGCTTGTGTACATAGTCACGGACAGTGGGGCTTTGCTCTGCCCAACCCCTCCCTCGATAAAGGATTTGATTGACAGCAGCAGGAAAATATACACTCTTTTGAACTTTTAATGCACAAAAACTCAATTCAATACCCAATTGTTTTGTAAACTATAGTTATGCCGAGTAAATGTATAACACTTCACACTTTAAAATTGTGCAGCAATGGAACGGCACCAAACAATACTTAAAAATCTCTTGCTATAACGTTTGCGGCAATACCTCACGTGTGGTAATAAAACTGTTTACGTAGTAGACCCCAGATCTTTCCTCTGCCCTTGAAAGCTTCGTTTCATACCTAGATTGGTTCGATCTGAAGCTTTCCAAAATCAGTAATCATAAGACCAAATCCAGAAGTGAAATAATAAGTTTCTTCCAGTTTCGTATATCATAGAGATGATCGGGAACATTTGCAGTGGTACCTCATGTGTGGTGTGATATCTATTTACATTCTGACGCGTGTTTGTCTTTGCACATGGGGATGGGGACGCTTTAAACTTTTTAAAAAAAATTTTGTTATTCTTACACTGCCCCTTTCATTTTTTTTTATTCACTTTATTATTACAAGGAATGTAAACCTCTCTTGGGATAGTAATAAGCAGTGACAAGTACTCTACTTAGAGATCTGGTGTCTATTAGACCCCAGAACTCTCCTCTGCCCTTTTTAAAGGTTGGAATCATACCAAGATCAGCATGATCTGATGCTTTTTCAAACTAGTAATTGTTTCTTGACATCCGGCGAAACTGGAAGAGAAAAAATACTTGTCGTCGGTTTCTCAGACTATAGAGATGATCGTCTGCACACTGGGTAACCTAGTGGGACGGGATAGCCTAAGAAGCCAGTGGGAGGGGGACGTCCCCTCCTGCCACTTGTAAAAGCAATCTAGTGGCTAATTACCCACTAGGATTGCTTTTACAAGAAAGTAATCGCCAGCTAAAAAAAAAAAAAATATTGCATTGAGGCGGCATCCCGGATAACCACTCAGTTGGGTGACGTACCCGTACATGGCTTAGTGGTAGGTGGATAAAGTGGGGCTTCAGTCAGAAAATGAAGTCCTGCTAGATCACCTCAAAAGCCCCTTTTGCAGTACATGTAGTACATTAAAAATAAGTGCCTAGACTGTTTAAAATCCAATAATGCACTGCCTCACTCTGCTCTGCACATGCTCAGTTGCCCTCTATTTTTCGGCAGGATGCCATATTTGTAGAGGCCAATATGCTGACAGCCTAAACATTTAAGGCTGCTCTGGTTCTGGGCTTCAGCAAAATGGCAGCCAAGGAGGAGGAACAAACGGCAAGAAGAAACAGGAACAATGCTGGAGGCAATTTACAGCACACATTAATTTTGGTAGAATAATTATTATTGTGGAATGTATGTTCCTTGCTAAAGTACATTTTTTTCTTTTTTTATATATGTTATGGGTAAAGTTCCACTGTTCCAGTGTGTTGCAATTCCGAGTTGTGAACAGTCTATGCAATGCTGCATGTCTGGTTTATGTGCATTGATAGCCCACTATAAATGAGTGGCCTATCTTAACCACTTGCCCTCCAGAAGATTTACCCCCCTTCCTTACCAGGCCATTTTTTGCGTTACATTAACTGACAATTGTGCAGTCATGCAACACTGCACCCAAATGAAATTTATGTCCTTTTTTTCCCACAAATAGAGCTTTCTTTCGGTGGTGTTTGATCGCCTGTGCTGTTTTTATTTTTTGCGCTATAAAGAAAAAAAGACAGACAATTTTGAGGAAAAAAAAAAAACAATATTATTGACTTTTTGCTATTAAACATGACCAATACAAAAATGTGAAAAATCAAATTTCGTCATAAATTTAAGGCAAAATATATTCTGCTACATGTCTTTGCTAAAAAAAAAAAAAAAATCCCAATACATGTAAATTAATTGGTTTACGTGAAAGTTATAGCATTTACAAATGGCGGTATGGATACTGGAATTTTTTTTTTTATACTAGTCATAGCGGCGATCAACGACTTATAGTGGGACTGCGGCGGGCATTCTGACATGGGGGGGGGAACTGACTTAGTGTCACTGACATCCCCAGTGACACCAATACAGTGCTAATAAAAAGCACTGACACTGTACTAATGGCACTGGGCAGGAAGGGGTTAAAATCTGGGACGATCAAAGGGTTAACTGTGTGCTGTGTGTTTTACTATGAGGCTGTGTCTGTGCTTTCTACTGTAAGCACACTGCTTTGTATGGCAGTGTGCAGGAGCTGACGGGAGAGAACTGTATTGTTTACATACAGTTCTCTCCCCCGTTGGTAATACTCGATCACCAGCCGGGACCCAGTGATTGTCAGCCGAGACCGTGAATGGCGGCGCGGGTAGGGTGTGCGTGCTGCTTGCGCGCACATCCTACCCAGAAATGCTAAATTGTGTGTATATATATATATATATATATATGTGTGTGTGTGTGTGTGTATGTATGTATGTGTGTGTGTGTGTGTATATATATATATTATACACATACAGGGCTTGAAATTTCTGCTCGCCAATGGGAAATTATGGTGGGGGCGAGTGTGTCCCCCAGGGCCGTCTTACTGAGCAGGCTCAGAGCTCAGGCCGGATCTGTCATTGGCGCTGGGCGCCATCAGACTGCTCAAAAGCTGAGCGCAGTGAAAGCAACGCAAGGAGTGTGTGCTGTGCTCTCTGCCTCCCCCTAGAGTGCAGTACCCGGATCTGTGAGTGAACAACGAAGTACTGCAACTTTTGGGGGGGGGGGGGGGGGGTGTGTACATACATGTGTGTGTCTGTGTATGCATGTATAATTGTACGTGTTTATGTACATGTATGTTTGTGTGTGTGTGTACATGTGTGCGCGCATGTACGTGTCTGTGTGTTTGTGTCTGTGTGTACATGTGTCTATGTATGTACATGTGTATTTCTGTGTATGTACATGTATCTGTGTGTATGCGTGTCTGTACGTGTCTGTGTGTGCAGGTGTCTGTGTGTGTGTGTGTGTGTACAGGTGTCTCTGCGTGTGTGTACATGTCTGTGTGTTTGTTGGTGGAGTAACTAAGGCCTGGCTAGTAGCTTAGGACTTGAAATTTTAAGCCTTGTGTGTGTGTGTGTGTGTGTGTGTGTTTGCACACCCTTCCACCCTGTAGCAGTATTTCTGCTATAGGGCGGTGGGAAAGCGGTTAATGCATCATGCTGTAAACCAATAGTGTGAACAGACTCCTGAAGTTAGGGAATGTCAGATGGGGAATGAGAAAGTGAAATTTAAATCGTAGTGGGACACAGAAGAGGAATTTCATCTTGCAACACCTTCTCATAGGCAGTACTTTTGCGTTTTTTGCTTATGCTCATAATTAAAGTAGAAAAGATTCACTTTTTTAAATGTTATTGAACAATAGGTTTTAGGTTAAATCTGTACTTTGGTGTTCAAGTAGCGTAGGTGATATGGTCTTTTGGCTGTCAGGAGCATTGTGTGTTTCAAGTCATTAGGGACTACACAGTACTGTTTTCAACCAGGCCGACCCTGTCTGATAGACTTGAGGAAAAAAGGGGGGAATTGGCAAAGCTTCACATCGCGCTGCACTATTAATTCATGAAGGACAGGCCATGTGTGTAATTCACATAGAATTACAAACTCTGTGTACAAGTATGGTTTTAATATACTTGCACACATTTTTATAAATTATTTACGATAGATTAACCTTTCATGCAAATCTAAAAAGAAACAAAGTCCTGCGTACCTTCAAGTCCTGTCAGATTTGCATTTTCCTCTGCATTAATTCTCGAACACACAAATTATGGGGGAGTAAAATACATTGAGAGCTGATTCACACATGTGTTGCGCAGATTGAAGCTCAGTTTTCACAGCTAATTGATACAGTAGTTCACTGGTTCTTGTCAGGTTTGCATCAGGTTCAGGACAGGATTAGCTCTGGATCCTATCCTGTTCCCACATGTGGTTTAGAAACTGTTCCCATAGACGTCAATAGCCTGTAATCCGCACCTGAACCAGACTGCTCAGAAATTGTACGACTCTTTTTCAAACCGCACTGAATCCGCCACTGCACCAGACGTGAACAGGCATCATAGCAATGTTTTTTTCACATCATGCAGATTGGATGCGGTTTAAATCACATCCAATCCGCATGTATGTGAACTGGCATTCAATATTTTGCATAATGTATAAAGAGAAATTTTATTATATTGACTAATTTCTGTAGTAGTATTATATATAACACAAAATTTCTTCCTACTTCAGACATTAATGGAGCGAAGAATTAGGCCCTGGATCAATAAAAAAATCATAGAGTACATTGGTGAAGAAGAAGCCACGCTGGTTGATTTTGTATGTTCGAAGGTAAGGTATTTAAAATGTGTGCAGGACTGTTAATATAGTTTTATTTTTCTAAAACACTGATAAAAAATGATTGAGATAATGGAGACAATTTGGATTTCCTTGCCATAAAAAAACTTGCACCTAGTATCCCTATTAGTCATTTGGCAGGCACATTGGCAGCATTTTGAGTGGAAGTCCCTTAAATATACTGGTATCTTTCTGCGCTGTAGCAGAAATGTGAAAAACCTAAAAATGCTGCAGATAGATATAGAGGCTGCATACAAATCTCCATGTAGCTAGTGCACCTTGCAGGTATTCATTCTAGGACCTTGGTTCTGTGTTACAGGACTAAACCCAGGATTTGTTTATTTATAATAATACTCAGGCAAGCACATTATTTTGATCTTTGTAAAGCAGATTCTGGAAAATAGTATGGTGTTCAACATTGCAGCATTTAATATGTATACATTTATTTTACAAATAAAGGTTTAATTATTGAAGATGTCCAAAGCAATAATAGCAGCCTGCTTTGTGGCAATAAAGCACAAAACCATTATCCATTCCCTTTCTGTTTATGTTCTGCAGTAAGTTTCACATTATAGTCTTATGTTTTAACTTCATAAATTCAATGTTCTTCACTAGGTAATGGCACACAGCTCTCCACAAAGTATATTGGATGATGTTGCAATGGTGAGTACACATTTATTGCCCAGTATGTTTAAGAATTTATGCAATTTATTGGCTAAAGAAGCGGAACAGTTTTTATAGGTGGGTTGCCACATCAACCCCTTGGCGCTGGTGCTTCCTGGCCCTTTAAGGGTTTCAGAAGCTGGGGGGGCGGGGATTTAAGGTTATGTGACTGCTGTGGTTCGTTATCACGGCGGCCACATGATTGAGAAAAGTTCCGATTGCAAGAGGAGATCGGGACCTTTCGTGAGTACCTGACGTGTGCTGGGAGCACGCAGGGCGTGCGCTCTTAGCACATTTTTCTTAATTGCAAGCAAATCTGCTGCCGCTCGGCATCAAGGCCCGGACACCGGGAGGCCTCACATTTGCGTGCGGTTGGCACCAAGAGGTTAATGTACAGGTGTACGTTTATTCTAAACCCTTGGACAGCTTTAGGATATAATCTTGACCTTTACCAAATGGCAATCTGGTATATTATTACAGCCAGTGCTAGTAATTGTTGGCAGTGGGAAAAATGTGTTTTGTTTTATTGCATATATAATATTGCTTAAATACCCCCATATCCTATAAAGTAAAATAGCAGGGTCAAGATAGGTGAATAGGAGGAATTGGTTAGGATCGCCTACAAGTGAAATCACGTTAAATTCTCTCATGTAAGGTGTACGTTAAGGAAACTGGAAATCTTATTACTGTGGTAATTGGTTGAAGCCTAGCCTGTTAAAACAGCTGGTTGATACACTTTGGTTTTGTGTTTAGTTTTTAGGCTATCATGTTTTATGAACAGCAGTTGCAAACATTTCCCAATCTTGCCTTAAAATATTCTCAACTATTCATTAGTGTTCACAGCGACATGTTTTATTTACTGATACTATATTACTTTCGCCTTCAGGTCCTTGATGAAGAAGCTGAAGTATTCATAGTGAAAATGTGGCGGTTACTAATTTATGAAACCGAAGCAAAGAAAATCGGTCTTGTGAAGTAAAACATAGCCAAAATGCATTGGTCACCATCAAACCTTTGCTGTTAGGGTCTACAAAACATTGAACAGTATATATTGCAGTCCCAGATTCCAGCAAGGTCATTCATATTTTCCAAAGTGATCAGACACGTTTGTTTTTATTTGTAGGGATTGTGATTTTTTTCCTCTCTAGATTCTCAGCTTTCTCCTAACTGAAGTTATCTGCGACCACAGGATAGGTGCACAAAGTAAACCAGTGTCTTACTGGTACGGTTTAAAATATTCAGCTGCTGTACAATGGTGTCTCTGGTAACAATGTTTGTCCATACTCTTGTACATATTAAAATAACCATTTTTTTGCAATTTGTTTGCACTTATATACCTATTGAATAACAGCAGGATGAATGGCTGATGTCCTTGTAAATTTAGGTTTAAAAAAGTCACAGTGTCTACTTTTTTGTTTTCTATATTTATTGCTGCAAAACGACCTAAATTTATTTTCTGTACAAATGGGCATGGCTGGCTGGTTGGTTACCTGGCTAATATTTTCTCCTTTTTGTGCTGTAAATATTTCTTTCTTATGATCCCATATCTGAAAGGGAGACAGGTAAAGCTTTTATTTGTAACTCCCCATCGGAACTCATATTTCCTGATATCAAATGATCCCATCTCTCCCACCTTCCCACATTTGATTTGAGTAAGCCATATCTCATTAAAAGCCTATTTGGCAAGCCCCCTTTTGTTGCACCTTTTTGAAAGTGACAGGTGGCTGCAACATTCTTCTTTTGTCAGTACTAATGTTTTATTCCTTTTTTATTCATTATTTAATAAACTCCTGCACTGGCTAATTGCAGTCTAAAAACAAGTGCAACAATAATTTTATATATATATATATATATATATATATATATATATATATATATATATATAAATGTGTGTTTTGTACTTTATCATCATCCTGCAGCAGTCTAACATTTGATTGCATTGGTCTCCTTTTAATACCTGTGTCGGAGTGTGATGCAAGTATATCAGCAACAATTGCTGAATGCATAAGCACATTTCTGAGTTCTTAGCAAGGCCATAAAAAAATCCAGGACATGGTTGAAAATTTATAAAATGTTAAAAAAACACTGTCATACATTATGTATACAAAATTACCTACATGCTTTTGAATGAAAGGACCAGTGATGTTCTCCTAGTGGGCAATACAGTGCCAGCTAGAGAACATGAATAACTGCTTATTTTTATCAATCATATACTAAGGGTTGAACTCTGTTATTCCCATTCACTCAGATGGAGCTAAATTTTGGTGTAGCTTTGTGTAGGGTTAATATACATCTACCCAATATTTATTCACCATTGGGACTGATAAACATGACCTGCTGTTTTTGTAAACTGCTGCGATATTCTGTATTTAAGGCATCGGTTTGTCTAAAAATGTTGAAGCTGTGATCTATGATTGCCAGATACCTTGCATTTGCAAACTGTGTTAAGCCGTCAAAGGCTTGCTCTGTAAATAATTCTGACATTAAAGTGTATATATTTGATATGTGGGCTTAGTGTCTTACAAGGTTTTCAATTCAAGACAGTGTTTAAAAGTAAATAATGTACCAATCTGTAAGCACATCATAAGGGTACCTTTGTTCAAAACAATTCTACAAAAAAAAAAGGAAAAAAAAGCTATGTTATAGAGACTTTGCCTGGGGGAAAGAGGAACATGCTTTACGTATTAACTGCAGACACCTACAGTGCATTAATAAAGTATTCAGTCCCCCTTCACCTTTTTAAAATTCATGTTGCAGCTTGATACTAGTTTATTTTTTTTCTCTTGTATTCATTGATGAAAACAGCTAAATGTTATGTCTGGAAGAAACTAGGCACTGGTCATCACCTGCACAATACCATCCAACAGTGAAGCATGGTGGTGACAGCATCATGCTGTGGGGGTGTGTTTCAGCAGCAAAGACTAGGAGACTGGTCAGGGTTGAGGGAAAGCTGAATAGAGCAAAGTACAGAGATATCCTCAAAACCTGTTCTACAGCGCTCAGGACCTCAGACTGGGCAAAAGGTTTACCTTTCAACAGGTCAATGATCCTAAGCACACGGCCAAGACAACACAGGAGTGGCTTAGGGACAAGTCTGTGAATGGCATACAGTGGCCCAGCCAGAACCCTGTTTTGAACTCTATTGAATGTCTCTGGAGTGACCTGAAAATGTTGTGGTCCCCATCCAACCTGACTGAGCTTGAGAGGATTTTCAAACAATAATGGCAGAAAATCCCCCAATCCAGGTGTGCAAACCTTGTTACGTCATACCCGAAATTAATTGAGGTTGTAATTGCTGCCAAAGGTGCTTCAACAAAGTGCTGAGTAAAGTGTCTGAATACTTAAATACATGCAATATTTAATTTTTTTTTTCTTTTTAACAAATTTAGGCATTTCTAAAATTCTGGTTTCACTTTGTCATTATGGGGTAATGTGTGTATATTAATGAGAATAAAAATGAATTTAAATAACAGGCTGCATCAAAAAAGTGAAGGGTGTCTGAATACTTTGATAGCACTGTAGATGCAGCGTCCACCCAAACGTTTCGGTAACAGCTTCCCAATAATGCTGAAGTTTGCTTGACCCCCTTTTCTGTCTCTTGTGCGTTCTGAGCCGTTGATGCTGCCCATCATACTGACAAGTTAGTGTTACTAAACCCAGGACCTTGCCTTCACTCTATCTGGTCTCCCACAGTACGCATCACATGCAAATACAATTATTTTAGTAACTATAAACTGCTAAATGCCTTTTCTTATCAGCAGTATATAGCAGTCTTCTGAGTTCTATCAGCGTCCAGCCGAGCACTGGTTAAAGCTTGACAAATACACCTACTCCTGCTCTTGGAGGTGAACTTGACAAAGGCTACAGATCCGTCCTGGATAGTGCACACCTTGCCCTCAAAGGACTGGGGAAGTCCAAAACCACAGGATGCAAAGAAAACAGAGGGCACACTGGCCTAGTGCATTACCTTAAATAACATTTTATTAATAAAAAGGTGATAAGTAATATACTCAAAAGACCAATAAGTCAAAAGTCCATCATAAAAGAACATCACTGTACAGTCCACATTGCATGACTGTCCACAATAGGAACCAGACCAGTAAGACTGGCTCTGAGGAAGAGGCAAGTCCTTGAAACGCGTTAGCCTGTTGGAGGTCCAGGGTTCCTATTGTGGAAAGCCATGCAATGTGGACTGGACAGTGCTGTTCTTTTATGATGAGCTTTTGACTTATTCGTTGTTTGTGAATATATTACTTATCACCTTTTTATTAATTAATTTTATTAGTTATTGCAGCTAAGGCACTAGGCCAATACATTCTGTTTTCTTTGCATACACTGGTTAAAGCTTTTAGGGGGAGTTTTCTTTCTGCTCTAGGATGCAGAACCCTGACTTCTGGACAATGCTGATTGGCCCTATGCTGATCACATGCACTCTCCCAATTAAATAAAAACCCCTCTAGCATTACATGCTAAACTGAGCATGTGCAGAGTGTCTCTACACAATATGTCTTAGGAGATAAAAGGGGACACTGGAAGAAGGAGGATCAGAGAAGTCAGGATCAAACAGCATTTTTGCACAATGCAGAGGGATTAACTCCTTAGGTTCCACAGGGTGTATATCAAGCATGCTTTACTGCATATACAGACTGATTTTACTGTTATGGTTTCAGTAACACTTTAATAAAAAAAAATGTGGGTGGCAAGGCTAAGTAGCAAGCTCTGACAATGTGTCCCAGAATCCCAGGGATAGAATCTTCATAAAGAAGGTTCAATAAAAGAAACTTCATTGTAACCAATAACATTTCATATGTTTTTTTTTCTGAGAACATGTGAAAAAAAACAAACCTGCTGTTAGTATGAAGCAAAATAAACAAATGTTACATGTGAATGGAGAAAGTACTGGGGCACAAGGGGGCTGTTTATGTAATATAGTTGCCTAAATGATAAAACAATATGCTGAAATGTTTGGGTAGATGCACCATGTTACTTTTTTTTTTGTTTTTTTTAATCATGGGACACAGGAAGTCCTAAAGGAGAAGTATGGCCAAAGCTTTTTTAGTTTTACATTTATTGATCACAGGCTTGCAGTTAAAGCCTGTTGTTTGCTGACATCAGAGACACTCCAGGCTCTGAAAAGATTCCAACCATATGGTTGGGATCCACCCAGAAGCCTGGACCAGCATCTGACTAGGCCTCTCAGTGATCCGTCTATAGCCTGAGCCATCCACTCCTGCCCCTCCACAGCCTGGCATTAGTGAGCTCTGGAGTACAGAGCAGAGAGCCAGAAACTGACAGTCATGGCTCTCAGCAGCAGAGGTGAAAAGTGAGTGATGTTCTCACTGCAGAGCCAGTGGGGGATGGATGCAGCATTGGATCGATGCTGCATCTACCTACATAAATACAACCCCTGGCAAAAAGAGATGTCAGTTGAAACAAAGGAGAGGATTATAAAACTTCTTCAAGAAGGTAAATCATCACAGAATGTTGCAAAAGAAGTTGGTTGCTCCCAGTCAGCTGTGTCTAAAATCTGGACCAAGTACAAATGAAATAGGAAGGTTGTAAAAGGGAAGAGTACTGGTAGACCAAGGAAGACATCAAAGCGTCAAGATAGAAAACTTAAAGCAATATGCCTTGAAAACAGAAAATGGACAACAAAACAAATGAAAAAATGGGCAGAAGCTGGAGTCAATGTCTGTGACCGAATTGTAAAACATCAAAGGAATTGGGAAACAAAAACAGTCAACACCTAAACAGAAAAAAAAAAAAAAAAACAAGGTTACAGTGGGCTAAAGAAATGCTGGATCAAAGTGATAGTGATGAATCACAAATCTGCATTGGTCAGGGTGATGATGCTGCAACTTTTGTTTGGTGCCGTTCCAATGAAATATATAAAGACAACTGCCTGAAGAAAACATGCAAATTTCCACAATTGATGAAATGGGGTTTCATGTCAGGTAAAGGTACGGGGAGATGGCAGTC